CTTAATTGTTCTATATCTTCTGCCAGACGGTAACAGTTCAAAAAAGTTATAAGCAGGATGGGAAGACCACCCCTATTCTTTGCCATCAAGTGACTTCCTCATATCCTTTTCCAGGTGGAGAATACTCAGAAGTGGTTTACCTCTTCTGGGAGTATTTTAACAGCAAACGTAAGACCTGGCTTTATAGGCAGGTTTTCCCTCCTGTCAACACTGATTATTTTTCCCATCTTGAACTATATTATTACTATTGTTTTTTATTTTATTATGTTGTTTTTATTTTATCTATTATTGTTAGCCGCCCAGAGTAGACTTTGGTCTAGATGGGTGGGGTATAAATGTAATCAATCAATCAATCAATCCTAGGACTGTGCAGCTTGCCCAAGTCCATATAGGCTGGCTCTGCTCACGAGAGGCACAGTGGGGAATCCGACTCCAAACAGGATGTAATTATATAATCAGTGAGATATCAGCATTTAGTTGCATAATAATATGCTGTACAACTACTCCTGAAATTCATATGGATTGTCATACTTGTCTAATATGGCTTGGGCCCTGGATACCTGAAGGACCGCCTCCTTCCATATGAACTTACCCGGCAGTTAAGATCTAGCCAGGGGGCCCTTTTGAAAGAGCCGTCCCTTAAGGAGGTAAGAGGGATGGCTTGTAGAGAAAGGGCCTTTTTGGCAGCTGCCCCCATACTATGGAACGCCCTCCCGACTGAGATTCGTCTGGTGCCGACACTGATGACATTTCGGCGCCAGGTCAAAACCTTCCTGTTCCAGAAGGCTTTTAATTGAAATAACATCAACTGTGGGTCCTGATGATGGCAATTTTAATTGTATTTTAATCATAAAATAAATAATAAAATAAATACACATTTTGTTTTGTCCAATGTTGACATTTATTTATTTTTATCTGAACTAATCTCAGTTTTCTGTAAAGCATGTGATTCCATATTTGTGTCCAACCAGAATAAAAAATGTCCACCATTTCAGTATTGAAAATTGCTATTCAAATAGAAAGCAAGCAAACTATACTGTATTTTACAGCTTCCTCATTATGAATTTGGTTCCCACATTTTGTTTTGTCCAATGTTGACATTTATTTATTTTTATCTGAACTAATCTCAGTTTTCTGTAAAGCATGTGATTCCATATTTGTGTCCAACCAGAATAAAAAATGTCCACCATTTCAGTATTGAAAATTGCTATTCAAATAGAAAGCAAGCAAACTATACTGTATTTTACAGCTTCCTCATTATGAATTTGGTTCCACAATGCACAGCTATTCGTGATACAAACACATGACCTCGTAACAATGTTAGAAATGATTAAAAGCACAGAAAGACCACCACCCCTATTCTTTGCAAGTTGAAGATCAATGTAGCTCTGCACATATGAGTTACCTGACAGAATTTTCAGTCAATCTCAGCTCTCTATGTAATCTCTTCGGGGTTTTCCCAGAAAGTATTGTGCTATACATTTATTGTATTGCATCTGTTTTTATGTGCATCTTAAAACAGCCAATTAATGTTTGGAAAGCAAAAATGTCATCATTCTCCTAAAATTATTTATCACCCTGCAAAAATATTTCTTAAGTGGCATTTCTTTCAAATGGCAACTAGGTGAAAGAGCTTTGAGTCCAATTTTGCTTCTCAAAAGAGAGAGTAAGACAGAAGGAACTTTATTAAATCCTAATACATAAAAAGATCATGGCAGAAGTAGAAGGACTTTTGACAACAGAAGGGGAAGATTGGGGATCTCTAATAACAGATTATGAAGGTTCAGTATATTACCTGTGGGGATGAAGATTGCTGGCAGGGAAGAGGACAAAGGAAAGAATGGAATATTCAAGCTTAGAATTTTATCTGAAATGGAGGACCATTTGGATGGGTTATACATTTACCTCCTCTATGACGTAGGCTTTCAGAATCTTCTAAGTATCTTCAAGTCAGGCTCAGATGTGCTTTACTAGCACTATCTTTGTCACAGTTATTGACTCAGATGTGTTATGTGGGGCAATTTTAGGTAGAAAGTGCTACACTGGAAGACTAATCTGCCCAAGAATCTAGAGGTATATATGCCACTTGGAACTGTCATTTAAGAGAAAATCTGGCAACCCTCTGTCAGATCTGCTTTGACGTGGATTCCTGCATTGAGCAGGGGGTGGGACTTGATGGTCTTTTAGGCCCCTTCCAGCTCAATTATTCTATCATTCATGGCTGTATCCTAATCTCTGGTTCAAAGAATTATCTGCTAACTAGAGAATTCTAGTGTTGAAGCTGAGAAGGCGCATTGAAGATCCCTGCCACAGATTTCTAATTTTCTCACCAAACTACATGTCTCAGGGTTCCATAGGATGGAATCATGGAAACTTAAAATGTGTTGGACTATTTTAGATACACATAATTCGGAGGGAATAGTTAAATTGAATTTTTATGTATCAGGAAAAACCTGCATATTAAATTTACAAAAACAAAAGGAATTTGTAGTGAACAAGAAAGGCAGAAGATGAGTGAATGTATGTGTGAGAGAATGTAAATATTTCCCTTTTCAGACTCAAACGTGACTCACTTATTTTCAACCTTCAACCCTCATTTAAGGATTTCCTCTGCCCAAGATACTGAAATCCAATTCAGATTTGCAAAGGATTAGACTATTAATTTCCTTTGCTGTCCTTACTCTCTCTTTACAAGTGGTTGTCCATTCTGATCCCATTTATATTGGAATTGTGCCAAAGTCACTTTAACTTATGCGAATACCTTCCTAAATAAGATGCTTCTTTAGCGGATATATTTCTTTTTTGTAGTTTATGTGGTGCTGTTCATTTGCAATATTTTCATGAAAAAGAAAAAAGGTTTAACATTTAGAAATCCATAATATGGAAGATGACACTTCATTATATAACAAGTGAAACCTGTTCTTCAAAAAAAAAAGAGAGAGAGAGAGAGAGAGAGAGAACCGGGCCATTCATAAAAATCAGGGTTTTCCATTTTCATATGCTCTCCAACCTAATGACCTGAGACGTGACTTTCTAACCCCCATGGGAGTCAGAGATACCAAGTTTTCAGCTGACTCTCCTCTAAGTTTGTTGAAGACTGGATTTTAGACATCTGAGTTATAGTTTCCCCCACGAATGTGCTCTTTAGCATTTTGCTTGAGGAAAACTAAGTGAGTTGTTCATGTGAGGGAACTTGACACAGGGTGTTGCTCATCATGAAGTAGATTGGGAAGGAACCGAAGGGGGCAGGACAAATGGATTAGCTAGCTAAAGATCTTCTTCTCATGCCAATTGCTGCAAAAGTGAAGTCGCTAGCTGAGCTGTCCAGATTGTGGCTACTTCCAGAGAGCAGATTTGGAGATATATGGTTGGCTGCCTGACCTGACAATCAATCCTACACAAAGTTTTCTCTAGGTCCACCCCAGCATTGCCTAGGGAATTGACTAAGTGGGGCCAGGCTGTCTGGCCAGGGACGACATGCCCCAAAACAAAGTGTACAAATCACCAACACCAATAATAGTTTGGTCTTTCATTTCATTCCGCAAAGCACAACAAAACAAACCACAAAATAGCCCAATTTAGGGGTGGGTGGGGTGTTTGCTCTGTGGTTTGTTTCCTTCTTGAAAAGTATGGACATCTAGTGCAATATCAATAGACATAACCTTTCTACCTAGAATGAACACTTATTGGACTTTATATCATTTGAGAAAAACTATAATGTATTGCAAAGCACAACAAAACAAACCACAAAACAGCCCAATTTAGGGGTGGGGTGGGGTGTTTGTGGTTTGTTTCCTTCTTGAAAAATATAGACATCTAGTGCAATACCAATAGACATAACCTTTCTAGCTAGAATGAACACTTATTGGACGTTATATCATTTGAGAAAAACTATAATGTATTAGCAGTACATGGAGGTATTCATGGCACTCTCTTCCAGTCTCTGGCTGTTGATGAGAAATGGCTGTGTCCATTGGTCCTGCACTAGATGTCCTTTTCAAGATACATGTCAAGACTCATCATTCCAGAGAGTGCAGAAAGCACTACAGCAGAACTCAAAGACTCACTGAAAATGAAGTGGCTAGCCTACAGAAGCAGCTTTCTGGTAACCTGTCTTGGCGTTTTCTAGGTATAAAGTATTCAAAAGTAATTTACCAGTGCTAGCTGCTGAAAGGACCTTGTAGCTTGCCCATGACTATGCAAGCTAACTCTTCTCCTGGGAAACACAATTGGGAATTGAATTCCCAATCCATGGTTCTGCAGCCAGGTGTTCCAACTCACTAAAATGCCCAGCTGCCACACTAAATAGTGTAAGTATGCAGAACTACAACTCCCAGAGTGTCATAGCAACATGGTCACGAGACACAGAATTTGCATCTTTCTAATCGAATTGAATTACCCATTCAGTCATATCTGGCCCTTGACAATTTCATGAGCCAGCTTTCGCCATTTTTTCCAATCTTGTGCAACTTCTTTCAGCTGCTTCATATTTTGGCCAGTGTCTGCTTTGATTACATCCAACCAATGTGTTCTTTGATATCCTCTTCATCTTTTACCACTGACCATTCTGAGCATAACATCTTTCTCCAATGATGTTGATTGCATAACATGGCCAAAATAACTATGTCTAAGTTTTGTTATTTTGCCTTCCAGTGACATATCTGGTTTTATGCGCTTCAGCACTTCTTTATTCATTATCTTTGCAGTATGTGGAATGTGCAAGAGCCTCCTCCAATACCGTAGCTGAAAAGAATAAATTTTCCTTCTTTCCATCTTCTTCATCACAGCCATATGTAGTCATGAGGAACATGGTGGTGTGAACTAACCTGAACTTGGTCATCAAGCTGACATCCTTACTTTTTAATATTTCATTCATACTCATCATTGCTGTGCAACTTAGCATGATTCAGCATTTTATTTCTTGGCTGCAATTAACATTTTGATTGACTAGTGAACCTGAAAAGAAGAATTCTTCTACACATTCAACCCCCTCACCACCAATTACTATTTTAATGTTTCCATTCTCTATAGTTTTCATTAGTTTGGGGTTTTTTTTAATATTAAAAAAGAGGCCAAAGTTCTCACTTTTTTCTTTGAGTGTCATGATCAGGTACTTTAGACCACTGATTCTTAACCTTGGGTTACTCAGGAGTTTTAGACTGCAACTCCCAGAAGCCTTCACCACCAACTGTGCTGGCTGGGGTTTCTGGGAGTTGCAGTTCAAAAACATCCAAGTAACAAAGGTTAAGAACCACTGCTTTAGACCTTCCTGGGTTTCTGAGAGGAGAAACCTAGGAAGATCTACCTAGATTCCAAAAATTGAAGGTTATTGAAGTTTCTTCCACCGATTTTTGTTTCTTCTAACTCCAGCTTTGTGATGATCACTTCAGCATACAAGTTGAATAAGAAAGGTGACAAAATGCAACCTTGCTGCATACCTTTCTCAGTCTTAAATCAGTCAGTGTCTCCGTATTGACTTTGCTGGTTTTCATACAGTGATTTCACCAGCCTCACCAAATGTAGTTGCATCCCAAGGTCTTCTAGAGCTCTCCATAGTTTGTCATGGTCAACACAGTCAAAAGCTTTCCTCTAATCAATAAAGCATGAGTAGATATTCTTTTGATGTTCATAACATTTTTCTTTACTAAATATCATTTCTGAGGCATGCTTTGTAACAGGCAGCTACAATATTCACATTATGAGCTTACAAAGACACAATTGTATGCTTTTTCCTATAACATGGTGATCACTGGGATGTGCTAATTTCTTATAGACATTTGAAAAGTTAGGGATTTATCAATTTGCTTCAGTTAATCTGGTTCCAGTCTTCTTGTATATGTGTCAGATCAGCCAAACAACAGAGGGGAATGGTTCTATCCACCTTTGGTGATTTTGTTACAATACTTTAAATTCCAAATTTAATTCTTTGTAACCCTTAGCTTGATGAAACAATTATATGGTAAAGCGGGCATGAACAACTTGCAGCCCATAAAATCAGCATCACTCAGCAATTACATAGATTCAATACAGTTTGTAAAGTGTGAAGGGACCAAAGGGCTATATAAACCAATTTCCTATCAAGGTAGGAAATCCACAGCCAAAGCCAACTATTTAAAAATCAATGAAGAACAGTATGCCTTCTTTTGAGGTGGTTCACTCACTTCCAAACAGCCCTCTCATGTGTTTCTGGCTGCTTAGAGCTCATTAGACATACTGCATTTTTATTACATGTTTGAAAATTCAATAAATGGCATAGCTATCAGTCCTCCACCAGGCTAGGTGGCATGCTGCATCTGGTTATTAGCTAAACAGCCTAATAATGAATTCCCCATTCTGCAATACTAATAAACAATGCATCTGCATTTCTGTATGTATATGCTCCTACCATATAGCCTTCTTAGAGTCTGTATACTCCAGCCTGTGGCACCACATAGAACATTTATTGCACATAGATGAAGAACCAACAGTTCACTAATAAAGCAATTATAATTTTTGTACTTTTGTTTGAAAATCAGGAATTGGGAACTTATCACTGCATTATTTCTTATCAACTTTATGAAATCTTTTATTAGGCAGATATATTTTATAGAGTACCAATGGACAAAGTATTTCATGTGTGTGTGCGAATAATTAAAAAAATTGAGAATCCTAATATACTGGTGTCAGGAAGATTAGTGGTGATTTTAACAATGCTGAAGGAATCTTATAAGTCTTGCAAGTGTAATGAAATCATTGGACACTAACATAAAGTCTTACACTCTTTCTTCTTCTTTTGCAGGCCTATACAATTCAAGGACAATATGCTATTCCACACCCAGATGTGAGTTTTACCTTCACTGTCTGCATAAGAAGTTTGCTTTCTTATGACACCTGCATGCTATTTTCAGATCTGACTAATATTAATATTAAACATTAATATTAATACTCTTTTTCACAAAGTATTTGGTTGTGTGTAGTATTGGTAATAGCCTTTAACCTATGAGCACTGGATTATATTTTTAATGAGGACTTGGCCTGTTGTCAATTTACTGGAATTATTCTGTGCTATCCCTTTGCTACGCTTATGTCTGTCTATCTGTCTGTCTGTCTATCTGTCTGCCTGTGCATTTTGTGCCTCACACAGTAGGCCACACAAAAGCATTTCCTTCTACTTCTCCTATATATACGTAGTCTTATGCACCACCCTAATTTATATATATTGTAAATTATTTTATGATATAGATATATCCAGAACCGTTTACATATTATGTGTTTCTCTCAGAGTTTACTTATGGAGATGCATCAACAGGTTGGTTGGCTGTACTGTATCGATGCTCAGTCGTAATGGAAAAGAAGGCCAAATGCCTTGTGATGCCGAAACCATTCCATCTAAACTACTGGGGGAAACAATGTATTTTAGTTGGTTATCATTATTCCCTTCCTGGCAGCCTAATCAGGGTGAAAATGAACATAATCTGTTTCTATTTTTACGAAAGTTGTTTTTAATATAAAATATATAATGACAAACCAGCAGTTCATGCCAGTTCATTTATCATCGGAACAGGTGTTTGGCACTGCCCAGCCCTGCCTAATCTGGCGGACACTCCTGAGGCAGTGCCCTGGCTTCCCTGCCCCCCCTTCCTCTGGATATTGCCTCTGAGTGGGGGCCTGCCAGAGGAGGTGGGTCTGGGAAGGGCAGAGTACCTGTTTGGCTGTTACCAACCATCTCTAGTAATGTTATTTGCATAAACGCTTATGAGTATATTTAGCATAATCTGTCTTCTCTTGTAAAGTCAAACATTGTTTATAAAGTAAATCTGTATCTGAATTATGCCACTCTAGGCTGCAGTTTGGAATTCACTTAGATTTTTTTTTATTCTAAATCCTTCCGAATAGGTAGGAGTTTAGCCAAGATTTCTCTGATGTGTTGTCTAGATGTAGAAAGCTTTTTCATTCTGATAAGCAATTAGCTGTAGTTTAAAGTTTTACAAAGGACTGGAGAGAAATTGGTTGGATTGATATTTCAGTTCAGATTTTCCTGATTTCAATTTCTTGAACCAAAACAATAATACAAACAGTTCTTGCTTGGTATTCAGAAGAATGAATTTTGCATTAGTTTCTGCAGTCACAAAACACATACAAAATGCTGGTATTTATTTATTTATTTTTACCCCACCTTTCTCCTTAAAAGGGCCCAAGGTGGGTTATTAGAGAAAAGGGTTCACTAAATATGTGTGTTACTGAAAGTAATATACAAAAATCCTTTATGGTAGACATATTATGTGAGAAATGCATGCTTTAGAAAAAAATTACATGGAACATTGGTCAAAATCCTGTTGTTTAGCATAGTAAATTGCACTTGAATAGGCCCACGGGGATTTAGTGAGTCAACTCCTCTGTAAATTCCATCGATTGAAACTATTTCTGCATTGTTTCAATGGGCCTATTCTGGAATGATTTACTACACTAAGGAAAAGCATTTGGGCCATTGATATGTTAGGAAAAAATGCACAGAAAAATCAGTAAATATTCACGTACTTACTCATTTTTCTGTGCATTTTTTAGTGTAAATATGCCTCAGAATGAGTGTAAGGAGATCACAAACTGATATGGAAACAGGATGAAATGGGCTTAAGAGAGGAAAAATGGAATGGAAGAGAAACTGAAATTAACAGTTTTGCCCTCCCTTACGTATAACTGGAGTTAGTTTACCCTTCTAAGTGAGAATTAAACCCTTTAAACCCTTGTATTGATTTTAGCATTTTTGTCTATAACAGCACAAGGGACAGGACTGAGGACATTACAAGGAAAGGACCATGGATGCTTTCATTCCTTAGACTCCTCTAGGAATCAAGAGCCCTCTACAAGGCAAAACAAATTATAGGAATCATCAAAAAAAGATGCACAAGAAAATAAGGAACATAAAAGAATATCCTGTATAAATTAATGCATGACTTTGTCATAAAAAGCACGTACCAAGAGCCAAGAAGCTACTATTTGTATTTTTAGTTTTCAAAAATGTAGCCATGTTAGTCTGTACAAGAGGAAGGAAGGAAGGAATTTGCATCTGAAAAATTCACTGAATAAGTGGACTTGATCCACAAAAGCTCATATTGAAATACCTTATAGCAGTTAGTCTTTAAGGTGGCACATTTTTGTCTCATTAGGGGCCTGCATTTCTCTATGGATCATATCAAAAGATCTGTTTAATCCAGAAGCCTTCAGCTTTCTACACTAATCAACTTGACAACACCCATCTCCTTTTATATATCTCCATTGCCTAGTATTCAGATGTACTTATCTGTGAAAATGGAAGTCTCATTAATTTGTTATGACTACTAATGTCTACTCTCCATGATTTTTTAAAGTTACCTTTTAAAGCCATCCGAGCTGCTGGCCATTGTATCGGATGGCAATAAATTCATAGAGCTTCTATGTTTTTTGAAAAGAGATCTTTCTTTTTTCCAGTCTCTTCTTAATATACGGTACTAACTTAGCCCTTCAATTCACTGGATGAATCTAGCTTTAAGTCAGACTTTCTTTCAGTTCCAAAGAAGACATGGAAAGAGTAATTGGACTCTGATGGCAAAAGGAAATAACATAGAATCTTCAGTAAAATGCCCAAGAATGTGTTCAGAGCATCATTTGGCCCAACTGGAAATTAAAACGTTTCTTCATTCTAAGAAGAGTGCTGGGAACAAGCAGAGATTAATTGGGCCAGGGGGCAATAAAGGTAGAACTCTTGTTGGGTGAAGGATTTTGAAGAACTCCTTGATGCAAGACCCTGCAAATTCCTGCTATCCTGAAGCCCCTGCTAGGTGCCTTTTAGCTGTCTGGCCAAAAGATGCTCTCTTCCCCTTACTCTTTTACATATTATCTAAACTAGCAGAGTTTCCACCATATTCTGAGCCACTCACCTGGATTTTTTAGATTTCCACAATCAATTGGCCCACTAGCATTTCTAACTAAGACTGACTGGCTGGGTTGGATTTTAGGCATGCCAACCAGTGCCCATTTAGCCCATCGGCTGACCTCTAAGATTTTGTTTAGAAAAAGAAAATAAGTATCTAGCCACATAAAACCAGAGATCTAACAGGAATCACACAACCACTGTTTTGACAAATTGTTTGGTGATAAATAGTCTTGTTCACGTGATTAGGCGAAGAATGAAGCCATCTGCCATTTAAATGGAGCTCATTTCTGGGCTCCATTTAAAATTCTGGGTGAATGTTACAATTTTGGAAATGCTAAGCTTTTGAAGAGCTGCCTGCAAACAATACATAGAAATTAGCTAACCCATGACAACAAATGCAGATTTAGGTGTTATACCAGCAGTAGAGATACAAAATATAGTATTTTATTATAACTGGAAAATATCCTAGCATAACTTTGCCACATTTTCTGCTTTGTCAGAATTAGCTTCACAGTGACTCTTGGGGTTCTACAGTTCCATGAATCTATGACTTCTCAGAAACAACAGTTCTATGTTATCTTCCGCAGGCTTCTGGGAGCTTAGCTAGGAGTTTAAGTAGGTGCTGCCCTGGAGGAAATAAAGACGTGGCCAAAACAGAGCATGTGTGTGTGTACTTTATAAGAAACCTCTGTTTTTGTTCTTAAAACTGAGCAGATGATTGCTGTAAGTCTTTAAAATTATGGAAAGGGGTATGAAACAACATTAGGGAAATGATAATGTCCTTTTCAGATAATGAATTTGACAGTATTCTTTGGATCTTTGAATTGCTTACTCAGATATGTGTCCTTAAATGGGTCCTATATGTCAGTAAATGTACAAAGGAAATTGATATACAGGTACAGTACTTATTAAGAAGCAGAAATCACCAAAGTTACTTTCTTGTGTTAAGGCTCCTGGAGTCCCTCTAGTCAACATAGTGAAAATTCTGGCTGAATGATTCTGGAAGATGCAGTCCAAAAAGAAAAGAAAAATGAGTTGTGTGATGAATCTCATTCCATGCTACAGCATGGCCCATTGCAGCTAAGTGGGATAGAGGTCCTGGAAGGAGGTAGCAGATTAAATTGACACTTGCTATGTGTTTATGCATATGTGTGGCAAAGAAAGGATGTTTTCTAGTCATAATAAAATATTTGATCTGTACTTATCCAAAAAATGACACCTTGTGTTTTTGCCTAATTTCTGCAGTTTGCCTTCACTTCCATTGCATTTTTCCTGACATGTCAGGAATTGTGCTGGGTTGTTTTTTTCCCATCAATAAAAATCAATGATAAAAACAATAGCCATCTCATGGGAATATCATCTCATGAAATAGCCCATATGCATAATAAAATGAGATTCTTATTTTTACACATGAGAAATATGCACATTTGCTTTACGTGATTTTCTTTTTGCCATTTATATCAAAAATAAACCTGCAAGGAAAGTTTCACTGAAAGGTAAGCCCAAGGATGCTATTTCAATAATCTGAGATTTGAACATAGGTCTTCCTATTTCAGGTCCAACACTTTTATAATATATTGGCTCTCTCTGATCAGTGGTTACTATATAAATGATGTTAAAGCTGAAACATAACAGTAGAAAAATAATACCAACATGAATGTTGATTTTTATAACATGGAAACACATATTAATTTATATGATGTGTAAGTATGAATATTACACACATAAAGCTCATAATATTTTTCATAGTTTAAGCCTAATATGGCTGTTGGCGTGGGGGCCAACTCCAAAGGCCTGATGTGGCATTTGCCTCTCCAGGAGCTTGGAGTCAGATTCGGATAATGAAGCTTCCAAGAGCACTCTGTTAGGGAAAAAAAAAAACACCTTGGAGCCCAAACTAACAAGTTACACAGAGTCTCTTAGCTGGTAGTTTCAAATCCTCCCCTTAATAAGTAGAGTAAAGACATGGACGTATGAGAAAAATACACAGAGAGAGTTCTAATAATACTTATAGCACAATATATTTGCCAAAACCAAGTTGGAGGTTATTGCATCATAGGCATTTACAAGGCCCCAACTGAGTCTTAAGGTTCTTAAATAGTTATCACTGTTTTCGAATTGGAATCTATTTGTCACAAATAAATTTATCAGAATAATCCAGAACTGGCAACTCTAAAACTGTATTTACTGAGATTACTTTCAAAACGTGTTTTGCATGAAAGTTGCCAAACTTACAGGTGCTTGTTTGTTTATTATGTTTTAAATTGTTTCTTTGAAAATATCTTTAACTGATAAATCTATAAATTAAACAGATAATATTTAAATTTAGGCCGGTGATATACATAATCAATTGTAGAAACTGAAGTTCACTCTCCGTTCTACTGAATAAAATTTTGTACTGATCACAATAGGAAATTGCATCCATGCACACATACATTGCACACACACATATAGTTGGTTAATTTATATATGGAAGTGATTAAATGCAACATTTCCATTTTGCATAAGCTGATGGAAAGTAATCTAGTCCTTGAGTGAAATCCTATTGCTTAGCATAGCAAGTTTCACTGGAGTAGGACCCTTGAGGATTTGATGAGTCAACTCCTCGGTAAGTTCCATTGATTTCTAACTATTCTTTGAGGCAGCAATACATTTGAAAAATGCATTAATGCCAAGTATTGATACAGTTGAGCCTGGTTAATCCTCTTCTTCAGCCTGGTAAGTAATAATCTCAGGTGGCAGACTCAGGGTGGGGGGAGAGCATGGAAGACATGCTCCTTGCTCTAATCCTACAGCAAGAGAGGGTGTAATAAAGCCAGGCATAAGTAGGTCTGAAGAGTTGGCCATGAAGTGCCTGTGCATGTTTGTGTGTGTTTGTATTATGCATGTAATAAAAGACAGTGTGACTGGCTGGCTGGCTGGCTCTCTAAGAGAGAGAGGGTGGCAGCAGTTCCTGTGAAAGGTGGCCAATGCACTCAAGGGGCAAGAAGATCTTGGCCTCCCCCTGGTTGAGTCACTAGCACTGGTCATACAAGACATATAAACCAGTGTGATTTCTTTCTTAATATATGTGCACGTGGGAATTGATCTGCGTTTTAGGTGATCTGGGAAATTCCAAAGAAAGTGTTTTGTTTTGTTTTGTTTTGAAGAAGCATACCGTACAAAACTGAGGGTGCCAGCCATGGATTGTCCTATGACTGAGAATGAAATTGATTCTTGCTGATGCTCAGAGAGAACTTAATACAACTTCCTCTCCTTTAAACCAAGATCTCCCTCTGTCTCTGCACATCCTTTTTTTAATTACTTGGAGAAGTTGGTGTTCCTTAGCATGGACAGAATGCTCAGCAATTGCATCCAGACAGATGCAACACCTTCTGCCCTCCCACCTCTTGCATGACGTTGCTGAGCTATTCAGCCATCTATTGGGGACCATAGTGGATTATGACTGCAACTGCAGGTGGAAAAAACTGTCGGGTTTAGAGGGGGGAGAGGCAAGGCGGTGGTTTCCAGTCAGCTACTAGAAAAGGAAGAAGAGAAGGAACTTGATGTCCTAGCCCCAGCCTTCACTGCACAGAATTGTTCCTCCATCCTCCTAATGACAGGTTACATTTTATGCAATTTAGTGTGAAGTGATGTGAAAGAGCAAGGGATGCTTTTCAGCATGTGTAGAGGGTTTGTCCCACCATGACAGAGTGCTACAACTTTAATTACCACTGAAATCATTAACCAAATGCCCCACATTTCCCCACCCCATCTCAAATGTTTCTGTGGATAAACGGGATTGGATTTCCATGTGAGGAGTTAATTTTAGATGAATGTGAGCAAACAGATAATTCATGTTTCAAGATAAGCCCTCTGTTCCTTTAATTGTAACTGTATAAATGAGCATTTCATAAATGGATAGGGTTTAGCTATTTGAATTGCTGTCTATATTTTGGCACATTCATAAAAT